TCTTAACCCTGACATTGGCAGAATCATCGTGCATAACGATGGAGCCATAATACCCAAAGTGGAAGTGGAAGTGGAGGCAGTCAACACTACAATAAAGTTCTCAAATCCACTTGACCGGAAAAGCGTATATTTATAGATTTCACTAATTCTTCAGCGGTTGTAACACAAAATCACATCAATTATATTTCACAGTATCCACTATGAACCAATGAAAGAATAATTAAAATAAAACGCCAACCGCACTCGATGAAATCTCGCCAAAAACTACCCAAACGGCCCAAGCCCGTGTGAAATAGACACAACACAGGCTATTTGTTTCGTTCTTACAACATCCCGTTATTTACATAGGTACACTTAGTGGTGTCGATTCTGGCTTGGTTCTCTAACATTAAAACTACATTTAGTTCCCAACTAATAGTTACTCAGACTGAAGCAAGTAAATTTAATGAACGAACGAAGTTTTTTTTAATTATCCTTATCGTAGCCACTACGATATAGCTGATAGTTTTAATTTAATATGATTATTATATTATTAAGGTGTTATATCTGGCATGGTTCTCTTAACTTAAAACTAAAAACATCAGTCCCTCCTTTTCATTCTGTATAGAGAATGACAAGGATACCCCCCGTCAATTTTGATTTTCAGTTTAGAGCACAGATTTAACATCATTCTCACCTTTTAATTCTATATAGAGAATGACAAGGATACACCGCTGTCAAATTTAATTTTAGGTTTAGAATCATGCCAGGGTCGACACAATAGGCTAGTTGACCCTTTTTGGGAAAAGGTTTTAAATGTTTAATAAATGTTCTATTAGACCGAAAAAAAATGTATTGTATTTTTTTTAAACCTAGAAAAATACAAATTTTTAATTTAAAAATAGACTTTTCATGGACATACAAAAACGCTGTCGGCCATTTTAGTCTATAGATTATCTATGCTATGACGTCAACTGTGGTAAACAAAAACTCGTAAATACGTAGAAAATAACTTATAACTCCGTTTATAATAAAAAAAACATGATTTCTAATAGATACCACGAAAAATAAAGTAATTATCATTACTGTATTGTACGAGAATATAAAAACACATCCCTGAAGACTCCAGGAAAGTTGTGAATTAAAGTGCCGAAAGAAATTAACCTACGCAACTTTATTACACATATTCATATGTTGTATCAGTTTTATGTTTATTACTACATTGTAATACTAAATGCACTGTACTTACATAGATACCTTGTCATTTCTCTGCTCCGCAGAGCAGAAATCGGGGTTTAGTGCAAAAAATTCACCAATCATCGATGCGTCAATTCTTGGCAGATTTGTGCTTTCTGCTTTCACAAAGCCGGCATCCATAATTATTTTTGTCAAAAAAAACTAAGTTTACTGTTTTTTTCTTTCCTAAAGTTAAAAGTGTTATAACATAAATTTAGTCAGACGAAAGAATCCACCCACAGTAACACGCGAATGACATTTAGTTGTTTACCACAACAGACATCAAAATCATGGCGGATGTGGCGAACAGCGTTTTTAGTGTTTAAAAAATATAGACTAAAAAATATTTTTTAAAATTCAATTTCTATAGCAATCTTCTGCTTTTATGAAGTGAAATCGATATATTTAGGTTCCTTAGACCAAATATAATAATATATATAAAAAATAAATAAATATTTCCGACACTCACACCAATTAGCCTAGCCCCAAAGTAAGCACTATAAGGCTTGTGTTATGGGATGCTAGGGTAACGGATAGAATACATATACTTTACATATATAAGTATATTTATATGAATACATATTAAACATCCATGACTGGAGTACAAATGCACGTATTCATCACACAAACATCTGCCCCCACCGGGATTCGAACCCGGGACCTCTCGAGTCGGCGACAGCCATGAAACCCGGCGTACAAACCACTCGGCCACAGAGGTCGTCATATAAATACTTTAAGAAATAAACATTTATTTAATACAATTCGACATGAGTCAACTAGCCTATTATGTGGTTATTAAAGGATCTCCCCCATAGGCGCGTTACGGTTAAAATTAAAGGAGACGACGGTTTATAAGTGGTAATCGTACCCATAGACATAGTCGTAGTATTAAAATGAGACAAACTTATAGAACAAATGCTCCTTCAATGAGGTTCAATCGAACTAAAAAAAATGTTAGGGATACGCATGGCGCCATACAACGGAGCGTGTGGTAATAGTTTCTATTAGTGCGTTAAGTCACGAGTTAGTAAATACCAATTACGCACGAATGTCATACAACGTTTTTCAACATAGTTGCGAGAAAACAGCATACATTATATTTTAAGGGTTGCGTACCTCAGAAGAAAAAACGGAACCCTTACCTTATCTTACCCTATCTGTCCGTCCGTCTGTCAAGAAGACTCCTTTTCTCAGGCACACTTCGTTTCAAGCTGAAACTTCTAAGCAAACGCAATCACAGACTACTTAGCAACTACGAACGCAATCAAAAAATACAGCCTTAAACCGCAAATTTTTTGAAACTCGCAAGCTGTGTCACCTGGTCCGATTTTAAAAACTAGGGAGGCATTACAGAAAAAAGCAGTAGAATTATGGAAATACCTGCAAGAAAAAACAGTAGATGCAGGGGCGTATTTGACCCGATTTAGTTAATCAAATCAAAATATAGGCCAGTAACGAATGTGTTTCTATGGCTTCTCCGCCGCCCCTCTAAGCTCGCTTTTTTTGTTACAGTAATATATTTATAGTATTATATTTAAAGTTACCCAAGGTTAGTCAGGATCTAACTGCACACGGTGTCCAAACTTATTAAAATCGGTTAAGTAGTTTAAGAATCCATCCCGGACAAACAACGTAACGCGTAATATAAAAATATTAAGATTATTTCTTCAAAAAAAAAGCAATCCTTGATTTTTTCTTCAAAAAAAAACAAAGAAACCTTGAGAGGTTTCAGGCAAGACTCAAATCTGCGTGTTCCGCTGTCCAGGCGGATGCAGTAACCACTCTAACATTTGTGGTAGTTCCACTGATGCCAGATTGGGGGGATTCCCGCCAAATTTAGGGGGGTTTTTAAGCGTTGGGGGGATAATTGGGGGGAAAACATTTTTGGGGGATTCATGGAGGGAAGAAATTTGGGTTTGGGGGAAATGGGGGGGGGGGGTTCATTACATTTTTTATATAAAATAAAACCACTTCATAAACTTTTGATCTGTAAAGTCTTGATCAACAGTCAATCAATAGTATCTCTTTCTCATTCTGTATAGAGCATGATAAAGATGGACTGTTGTCAAATTTTATCAGTCTTATAGAAGCATGCCGGATTCGGATCTCTAAGTCCAAAGCCCATAAAAAAATGTAATCGTGTCGGTCCAATCCGTTTCGCTTAGTCGCTCGGTCAGTCAAGTCCATGTAAAGTCAAGCAAGTCAGTCAGTTGTTAATGTTCGTTAGCTTAAACTGCAAATCGATTCGACACTATCTATCATCTTTGTTCTGCTAAATCGTAATTTGTGCAGAAATACTTATTAAGTAGTAAATATTGTATTTTGAAGTGAGACTCAAAGAGGCACGCTTGACTTGGGGGGTAAACTGGTGAATGGAATGAAATGAATGTCTTACGATTTCGCGTTATCACGACTCATGGGTAAACAATGAACAATACCCGTCACAAAATACATGAATCTAGTGCTTGGTGGGTGTTAACGGACCCAGTGCGGATTGGTGGGTGATAACGGACCCTGTGGGGATTGGTGGGTGATAACGGATTCAGTGCGGATTGGTGGCTGATAGTGGACTCAGTGCGGATTGGAGGGTGATAACGAACCCAGCGCGGAATTGGTTGGTGACAATGGACCCAGTGCGGATTGGTGGGTGATAGCGGATCCAGTGCGGATTGGTGGGTGAAAAGAGCTTATCTTTTCATAAACTTCAATAGTAACATTTTTTATTGTGAAAAGATGGTCTCTTTTAAAATGTGTCATTTTCCACATAAGTAATAAAATTTCAGAAAAAGTACTCGTTGTTTAAAATACATCGATGTTTTCATCCGATACATCGGAAGAAATCAATGTAAGTTTAATTGCGATGTATTGAATCAAAAAATACATCGATGTTTTTTAGAGTGGACACCCCTAGGTTATCTCTGTCTTTTTGGGTGCGGCCAGAGTGCACTCAGATTCAGACTCAGATTCAGATTTCGAAAACAAGCGCGAGAAATAAACAGTGTAGTCTAAGCAGGTTGCCTGCTTTTTCTCGCGCTTTGTTTTCTGAGTCTGAATCTGAATCTGAATCAGGAGTGCACTCTGGCCGTACCCTTCGACTACACTGTTTATTTCTCGCGCTTGTTTTCAGAATCTGAATCTGAATCTGAATCTGAGTGCACTCTGGCCGCACCCCGTGTTGGCATGACATTATTCTTGACATTTCTACCAATGATAATGGGTGTATTCCGTAATGTATACCAGTATACTGGCCAGTGCTAATGACGTCACGAATCCGACGCCATATTGTACTGGTATGCTACCACATTTTTACCGGGAAAACGAATATGACTTAAGACAGAGCGTGCGTGAGATGCATTCGAATTTTATTTCTTTTTTTTTTAAAGAACAATAATGGCATTCGAACAATAAGAATTCCTTTTAATTGATGAGGTGAATAAAAAAAATTCTTTATTCGCACTATTTTTAATATTTCGTCGTTTATGACGTCAGTGCACTGGCCAATATATTTCGGAACAATTCACCAGTATAGCGTCGATTCATGCCGTCATTAGCACTGGCCAGTATAGTAGTAAATAAAATTGAACTAGAAAGAACCTTAAAGGGAAGACAAGATAACTAAAGGAAGACTTGACTCCGGCCGGCCTCAAGAATACAAAAATAAAATGAATTTAAGGATTGACTGTATAGGCGTATACCAGAGTAGTATAATATACCGGAAAGCGTATAACCTTGGCCTTCCCAGAATCAGCAAAGAAATATAATCTTAATAATCTGTGAAATAAATTAAAAAATAAAAAGTGATAAGGCAGGGTTTGAGGTTAACTAAACATAAATATTTGAAATTAAAATTTTAATTATGGTCACTCTTTTGATAAATGCAATAAAACGGTTACAAGTATCGACTTTATTACCAATTCGCACTTATGTGTCAGTCAATCCTCAGTCTATACCTTTGGACAACTCCTTGGTAGTCACCAAAAAGGAATGGAAGTTTCCCCCAGCTTACACAAAACCACGAGAAGTTTGGATAGAAAACTTGGATACACTAGAAGAAAAGAAATTAGGATTATTTGAATTGCATCCATCAGTGTATGCAACAACACCACGTATTGACATTATTCACCGCAATGTCGTTTGGCAAAGGAAATATAGATGGGTATCTTGGGCCCACACGAAAACAAGGGCTGAAGTACGCGGTGGGGGCAAGAAGCCCTGGCCCCAAAAAGGTCTTGGCCGAGCTAGACATGGGTCAATTAGATCTCCATTGTTCCGTGGTGGTGGAGTAGCCCATGGTCCACGTTCTGGTAAAACACATTTTTTCATGCTACCGTTTCACCTTCGAATACAAGGCCTCACATCGACGTTGTCAACTAAGTTAGCACAGGATGACCTGCACATTGTTAAAGATTTGGAATTACCATCAGATGAACCAGATTTTCTCTTAGATCTTATAGAAAGCAGAAATTGGGGTCCTTCTGTATTGATTGTTGATGAGTAAGTTTTAAAAAAGTATTTATATTAGGTATTGAACCTAGAGAATTTTTTATAACATAGTTATAGATTTCTCAAACTAGCTTGGAAATTGCATTATTTTAAATAATCTTTTTATACTCTCAAACTAGCTTGGAAATTGCAGCAAGTTAATAGTGCAATTTCAAGCAAAATTATTGATAAAATAATGAGTTTTTAAACATACGAAATCGAAATTGCTCTACCAATAACATTCAAGCAGCAGCTGGCAAGTTGTATGAAAATCCATAAGCTAGGGAGCTGGTGGCAGTAATTTTTATATGATTTCATTGTCTGACAGAGGTTGATAATATTAGAGTACTAAGTAAAATAATCATTTTAAACAATTTCTGCCATTCATTATCTGCTGATTATCCAAAAGGAGCTTCCGAAAAATGATAATAAAAATAAGTGTCCTAAACAATATTATCACTTCTGGGAATAGTCTTAATACATTGTATCTAAATAAAAACAAATAATGCTAGTGGATCATTTCATTTCTCATTTTTATAATAAAATAAATTACTTCCTAGGCAGGTAGCCTAGAATAATAATTGTTGAAATTATATTATAAGAGATAGAAACAATTACTTCTGCCACTATAATGATGTTGCATTAATAATCTGTATTGTTGAAATATGTTTTAAAAAATAATAATAATAAATTATTATGATTGTTTTTGTCTTTACTTCTACTATTTCTATTCGTTATGAGAAGTATAAAAATGAAAAAGGCAGAAAGAAAATAATACTTTCTTTTCAAAGGCTGAGGACAACTGCAAGGGAGTACAAATACACACTCACTAATATTAATTGTGTATATTGTATTTGTTCACATGGAAAAGAAAGTTAGAAAAAATAGGTGGTTTAAAACTGGGAATGAAAGGTCACAGAGAGAAATATACATGCTCCAAAATACGTTAAGACTCTCCAAAAAATAAAATCAGAGTTGTAGATGTCTGCTACAAATATTCTATAGACAATGATATTAAATACCCTAGATACACCTCGTGCGCTCCAAATGTGTCCTTGACGAAAGAAGTGCTTGAACACAACTCAAGCACTTTTTGGTTCACAGTAATGCGCGGAACGTTGAAAAGTTAACATAACCCTTAATTCCATGATAAATTTTGAAATAAATACTTATAGTATGTAAAATTGATTATAATCAATGTTTGTTAATATAATGCATTTGAAGCAAATATTGTTTTAATACTAATTATATACTGATTTAATAGAATATATTTGTTATATTCAAATTCATGCTCGGTAATAAAGCTATCTCTTTTCCTCACGGTCCGTACCTGCTATATTGCTAATAGGGCATTCAGAATTGTGCGTAGAAGCAAAGAAATAAGGTCTAAATTATTCCGCATATAGCAATAAGTCATATAATTTTATGAGTTTACATATCAGACTGTTATAACTTTTAGACTACGCAATCATCTTACCAAGCTCCGTGGATCGTCCAATGTTCCTTTTGGACAGGTATTGGGCATGATTTTATTTGTGTTGGTGGATCTAGGATATTTAATATCGTTCTCTATAGAACATAAAAATTATATTTGAAAAGACGATAGATATGTAGTGGTATTAGTTTGTTTATAAATTATTTTTATAAAAATCGCCCACCATTCTGACTTCTGCCAGCTTTAATTTCACTATCTATGTAATTTATTTAATGACAGAAACAATACTATAATTTTTATGTTTTTGTTTTATCATTTAGGAAATAAATCAGAGCTACCTAAGCTCACCACTTAGTGAACACAGGTGCAAACTATATTACGTCTTGGTATCAACTATGATGAAATCATATACCTAAATTGCCACCAGCTCCCTAGCTATCATGGTTTAGCGACCAAATAAATTATATATTAAAAAATTGTTGTGTAATTTAAAAATGGAATGGAACTCAATTTATTTTTCAGCTCTGATCTAGCCCCTAGAAACATCACAGCTGCAGCCGATGCAATTGCACATGTCAATATAATGCCCGTGTATGGACTTAATGTCTATTCCATGTTGAAACATGATACATTAATATTGACTTTATCAGCAGCAGCAAAGATAGAAGAAAGAATTTTACAGCATCTGCATTCAATAACCACAGATAAAGAGGCTAGTTTCAAGCTAAATCAGGTGTAAGATTTAGATGAAAACAAGATTAATAAAAGAAAACAAATAAAATCTTGCTTGCTATAAAAATGATTTTATTACTTAAGTTTAAGTTTATTGTCATCATGCACATCATGTATGTAATCCTATATTATGTAATGGAAGTCATCAAGTGATGTTGTTTCTTAACAACTAATTTGTTTGCAAAATTCAAAAGGCACTCCTGATGAGAACATCTGCCTTTAATGTCACATCCACATGTAAAAATGCAACATTCAGCATTTTGAGCATTGCACTACAACTCAAAAAGTTCATTAGGTACAATTTAAGATTTCTGCCTATATTCTAGACATTTGAACAAGTTAGTGCTGAGAAAAATATTAGATAACCTTAGTGGTTTTGAATGATGTGATTCATGGTATTTGTCATAATTTAACAATAAAAAAATTTGAATTCCACTATACCTACACATAGTAAACCTTGATGGGCAAGCCAGCAAGTGACATGGTGTAATTTTGTGGGGCATATTCACACACATTTGTTTAAATATCTCTTGACCTTGTCTTGTATTTGTTAACAACTATGTGACAAAGCAGGTGCATCACTATTTAGCTTGTATCCATCACTCATCATCAGATCACTCGGATCAGAGAAAATCAGATCTCACTAATGTAATTTTGTTTATATGAATTGGTAACATTACAGGTTCAATGTTAATGTTCCCATTTAAGGAGTCTTTAAATTTTTTTTTTTTGTATATTCATCAAATATACTGGATGTTGTAATTAATTTTGTTATGTTTTTTTTGTAGTGGGTTTAGGAATATTCCCTGCCATTTTCTGCCTTACACTCCATCTCAAATCTGACCAATCATTTTCACCTGGTACATTTGGTTTATATTTCGCCCACAATGCAGTATAATAATGATATAGTGAAACTGGATCACATTTCTTCTTTTGTGGTTGTTTCTTTACTTTTATTACTGAAATAATAAATATGACACATTAAAAAAGGTGTTATACTTAGTTAGTTGACATTAGTTTGGCTTGTAAAAAGTGGAAAGTCTTTCCTTAGCTGGAAATCGAACCCGGGCCGCCTGGGTTGAGGGTGAGCTTTCTACCACTTAACCACTGATGATTGATGGACTGAAGTTCTAATAAAACATTTATGCAACATGCTAAGGATGAACAGCAAAATTGTAGTGATATAATAAAAGTTTCACTTTGAAAATTAAGATTGAGGGATTAAAAACCAATTTGATATAAAAATATAATACATTACAATTGTTGCTGGAAGTGGGTGCTGTCTCATCTAGTACAGCTTCTGGTTTTCTTTTTACATTGGCACAAGAACAACTTCTGATGGGTTTTACATTGACATTGTTTTCTTTTTTATACTGTCCTAATACAGGAGCAGAGTGAATGCTGCGAATTGTACAACTTTTTCTCTTTTGGCAATGTCTACCACAGGTCATGGAAATATTTTCTTGGCACCTGGATCTGATCCGCGATGAAAATGTACTTGCACTGTGAAGTCTCTCAGGCCCTGAAACATCTGGTTTCTTGGCTACGTTGTTTCCCTCTTTCTTTTGTTCCAAGTCATATTTTATAAGCTTTTTGAGATCTGAAAGTATAAGTTTGAAATATTTGACATAATGAATAGGTACTTATTCAAATTGTAAAGAAAGCAAAGAGTAGAGAAATAAATCTACAAACCAGTTATAAAATATTTCAAAATTTCTCCACTTATGTTATTTATACCTAAGGTATTTAGATAATGCAGTATTTCCCTTGGATCCAACTCTGATGCAACATCATAATAATCACTGTTCATCTTAAATGGAATCTTTTAGTTTTATAATTTCGTTTCCAACTTCTACAGTCGATACTAATACCACATTCCAGTGCACCATTCCCAGAACAAAAAATAAACACAAGAGCACCACCTATCAGGGTTTATCTCTTTAATAATTTCTTTCTGTTTCTGACCGTTTTAGCAATCAAAGTATCAGTCTTGAGAGCAAGCGAATTTAATAGTGTACCAACATTTGTGCAAAAACAGATAGATTTCTTTAGTGTGGCTTGCAAATACAGTTATTGACAATCTTCAAAATAAATTGAAATTCAGTTTTTCCGTTCGCTTTTTTTTTTTTTTTTTTTCGTTTGTCCTTTCGGACAGGCTAAGGTCTGGGACCATACTGCCTCGTCATTAGTTATTTTTCTTCTTTTTATTATTAAAATTCAATATAACTTCCTCAGTTTGATAATTTCCGGTATATTTTCTAGTTTTTTGTTTTACTCTATTATTATGTGCTTTTTTCCGAGCACATTGAACATCTTAAACACCAAACATTTAATTTTTTCTCTTACTAGACAGTCCAATCATGAATTAATTACATCCTATATGAATTTCATATTTATTTAATATCTTTTTTATAGTACACATTTACACAAAAAATAAATCATAGACCAATACCATGCAATACCTTAATCCTAATACAAAACTTAAGAAAAGAAAAAACAAACTAAAAACAACGACATTTGATACGTTTCAAACTTGTTTCAAACCGACAACCTAAACGAAAAAGAATACCTACAAGCAAAATTACGAAAATAAACATTTTTTTCAAACAAATAAAAGGAAAGAGAACATGCGGTACCTATTAAACTTAACTGAGCGTTTTGTGTATGCAGAACATTTAACCTTAAAATCTAATACACAACGATATTACAGAATATTTATATTTCTTCAACAGTGTTTGCAATGAAATTATACAGAGGAACGTATGTACAATTATTTACAAGAAGATCGGTCAAGGAACGCGGGACCAAATCATGTTTGCCATAAATTTGGATTAGCTCATCCAACAACACAAGGCGCTGAATGCCGAAGGATGGGCAGTCAAAGAAAATGTGAGCTAGGGTTTCTTCTTGGGAATTGCAATGAGTACATTGAGCATTATTCACCATTTGCAACCGAAAGAGATGGAAATTAAGCCGACAATGACCAAACCTTAAGCGAAAAATCGTCGTATAGAATTTTCTATTCAAAAAGCTATTTGATTTGCAGAACCATGGCAATTTGTTTACATCAACATAAAGAGGTGTGTACCATAGACCTTTACCTTTAACCTGTACTATACAATTCCAATGGGCTCGCCACTCTTGGTGCATTCTTTCCTTTAGCAGAACAATCAAATCTGTATAAGGTATAGACATCTTCTGAGTATTGGTTTCAGTAGCTAGAGTATTGATAGATTTTGCTAGATAATCTGCATTTTCATTACCTGTTACACCAATGTGAGACGGAACCCACATGAAACTTACAATTATATTATCAACATTGTATAGATCATACCAGACTTCTTTAATAGCATGAATAATGTAATTGGTGTTTGCACTTAATTTATTGTTTTCTAAGTTTTTGAGCACACTCATGCTATCACTAAGTATTAGCCATTTTTTATGTCCTTGATTTTGGTGTTTTATGTGTTTCAGAGCAGCCAAAATTGCTAGAGCTTCTGCAGTGAATACAGAGGAATTTTTGTCTATCTTGTAACCTAAACCAGATTTTATAGAGCTAACGTAAAAAGAAAAAGATGCACTTGAATCATTTTTTGAGCCATCTGTATAAATATGTTTATGATCAACCCAATTTGATAGTTCACCAAACACCTCCTCTTTAGTAGAAAGCTCCTTGTAGATATTTATGTCAATTGATGGAAATTTGCTCTCAAAATGCCCTTCATAGCATGGTAAGATTGAAGGCTTATAAATGTTGGAATTTTCGAGAAACTGAGTGAACTGAGGAAATCCTTGCATGATATACAAAGGCCTACCTGCCAGTGATTGTGATAAATATGAAATATTTTTTAAAAGTTGATTATTGTTTATTGAGAATAGCTTCAAAAGGAATCTTTCCTTTAAGTAACTAAATCTTATTGAAATGGGAGAAAGATTACACTCAATTTGCATAACATTAATGGGAGTGCTTTTGAAAGCACCAGTTATCAAACGCATACTTTTATTTTGAATTTTGTCTAGGATATCTACAATTTTGTTGTCATGAGCAAAACAAAAAAAAGCATACTCAAAATGGCTGCGAATCAAAGACTTATACAGTAACAACAAGATCTTAGGATCAGCTCCCCAATATGTAGAAACTAAAGATTTTAATATGTTTAAAGCTTTGTTAGCCCTAGTTGTTATGTGTTCAATATATTTTTTCCAAGATAAGTTGTGAGTTATTAAAACACCCAAAAACTTTGTGTCTAATGAAACTGGAATAGCAACATTGTTATAGTAAACAGTAGGCATCAAAGATCTATTTTTCCCAAATACAAGCAGTTTTGATTTTAATGGGTTAATATCAAGATTTAAGTATGTGAAATATTGATTAAGATTAAATAAGGCACTATTAATTTTATTTACTAAATTTGTAATTTTATGATCGGAAGCATATACTACCAAGTCATCAGCAAACTGTAAATTTTTGACATGTCCACCCAGAATTAAGTTGAGACGTCGGATATATAATATAAAAACAAGAGGAGATAAAATTCCTCCCTGACAGACACCAACAGAAGCCAACCGTGGGCCATATAGGTAACCATTATTCTTAACAAAAACTTTTCTTTCAGACAAGAACTTTTGGACCCAATGAACAAGTTTTGGTGGTATACCCACTGAAGTTAACTCATTAGAAAGCACATCAACATTGACACTGTTAAAAGCTCCCGCAACATCAAAGAATACAGACACCATAGTTTGATTTTTTACTAGACAATTTTGGATGTCAAGTTGTAATTGGCAGATACTTTCACGAGATGAGCGACCTCTTCTAAATCCAAACTGATTCGAAGGTAAAATGCCATTTTTTTCCACATAGAACTCCAATCTTTGCTTTAGTAGTTGTTCAAAAATTTTTCCTACACATGAAGTTAGTGCAATAGGGCGATAAGAATCTTTATCCAATTTAGGCTTATTAGGCTTTAAAATAGGAACCAAGCAATCTATTTTCCAACAAGGTGGTATGTCATTGTTTTCCCAAAGATGATTTAAAACCTTCAAAAATATCTGCAAACTAGAATCACTAAGAGTTTTCAACATTTTATAAGGGATACCATCCAATCCAAATGCACTTTCTCTTCTGGAGGAGACTGCGTTTTTCAATTCTGTTATTGTAAATGGTTTTATTAAAAAGAGGTTGGTGGAATTTGATTGAGATCTATTGTAGGAACAGTCCTGATGAGTAGGTACATAATCAGGAGTATATTTCTTAAGAAAAGGTAAAACCCAGCTGTCACAGTCTGGATGACTTAAAATAAAAGATTTATTGAATTTACGCATATATTTCCAGATTACAGTAAGAGGGGTACAACGATTGAATGAACTACACAAATCAGCCCAGCTTTTTGATCTTTCAGTTTTAAGGGTGAGTTTTTTTAAAGCTTGCAACCTTTTAAATTCCAAATAGGTTGTTTCTGATGGATTATTTTTAAATGTAATATATGCTTGTTTAGAATTACTCACAGCAACTGAACAATTATTATTCCACCAAGGTAATGAGAGTCTTTTGCCAGTTTTTCTGTTGGTAGAGTTGGATTTTAATTTGGTAGGGGTTAAAGACTCTGTGGCTGAATAAAGAATTTCACAAAATAGTGTATAAGCCTCCAATGGGGTGTATGATTGAACACAAAACTCAGATAAAAGACTTTCAACTTTACATTGATACATTTTCCAATCAACCAGTTTAAAATTTTTGAATATTGGAAAAGTGACCTTATCATCCATGACATTATTGTTATTACAATCTTGTTGGTTGTTGACATTGAGACTAATATTTGTTTTTACAGGTAGATGATAACTGCCGAGAGGATCATCATGAACAGACCATTCACAAGATAAAGCCAAAGAAGGACTAACTATGGTCAAATCTAGAGCATTGGGCCGCCAAGTTAAAGAGCCAACTGTGGTTGGTTGCCCATCATTAAGAAGAATCAAGTTATTTTCATCAATGATATCCAGAATATCTCGACCACGAGGATTTGTGGAATTACAGCCCCAAGAAGAGTGATGACCATTAAAATCACCTGCAAAAATCATCGGACCAGGGATAGATTTTATAAGAGAATCTAATTTGCTTTTACTAAAGGCAGGATTAGTATTTGGAGGACTGTAAAAGCTAACAATTGATATATCTTTATTTCTTATTGTAATACGAATACAAATATTTTGCAAAGTATTATCAAAATTTGTATTGATTTTAGTATAAACAATGTTATTGCGAATTAATATTGCAACTCCATTATGTATATTATCAGAATCATTTCTTTCTATGTTGTAACCTTTTATTTTGAATTGTTGATTCGGTCTTAGCCAAGTTTCTGATATTAATGCTAAATGAATGTTGTGTTCATAAAGAAAATTTGTAAATATGAGCCTACTGCTTACTAAACTCTGAGTACAATATTTAAGTTAGCCATTTTTATTTTTGGAAGGTATTTTTCTGAATGTATTATGTAAATTTTCTTTTATAGTATTACTATTTATAGGTACATTCTTATTAGATACTATATTCATTATTGTTTCTACTAATAAATTCATAAATAAGTCTGATTTTGATAAATTATTTAAATGTGTTTCTATCGATTTTTCGGCAAGTTTGGGAAATGATTTTTCATTAAACAGTTCTGAATACTGCACAGCTCTACTTTTAATTTTGTTGTCTTCGATCTGTTGCTTTTTAATTGGACAAGAGGATGAGATGGCTACGTGATTACCTCCACAGTTAGTGCACTTTGCATTTTCTATATCAACAGTACAAGATTTATA